ATATATATATGTGCATATACAGGTAGTTAATAACACCCCTTAGTTTATTACTTTTCCTGTAAAAATACGAATTATCCAATACTTATATTAGATTATTTTTGACAAGTCCCCATGTCCCCATATCTGACTACATTGTGGCCAATTTTGAAAGAAATTGTAAAAGATTTGTCGAATCTACAAATATTTGAATGTCCAAAAATTGTGAAGTGCACGTTACATAGGTAATTAATGCTACGGAATAATGACGGGTTTGATACTTTGTGTTACCACCCTAATGTCTTGAATTCGTATTATCACCAAACTTTTAGTGACTCATGTCAACTATGTTTTAAAATATTTTCGTGCACGCATTAGCCGCTTACATTATTCGGAAAAATGGTAAACCGTTTGGTAATTTCCTAAACAACTAATGAAAAAAATTCTTCACTGTATTTTGCCATGTTATGACTTAGGAGACAATAAAAATTCTACAAATCTAAAAAATCTGCGTGCGGTAGATCAAAAAAATAGACGTGCTAAATAACAAGTTTTTCAGAATATTCTGAAACACCAAAGAGTTAATAGACGGTTGCTAGGAAAAATAAAATAGCGAGTGGCTTAATTACTAAACAGTAAAAACAGAACAGAACGGGACAAATTGAACTAATTGCAATAGTGGTGGTAGGCTACCGCATCATTATAACCCTTCAGACCTATTTTCAGACCCCACTGCCCACCCATTTTCCCCATTTTTTCCATTTTACCCACTTGGCTGGGGATTAGGCTCAAAAGGTGGGTAAAGTAAAACCCTGGCTAAATCTGCATACTTAATTTTGTCTGCATTAAGTTAAAATTAGTTTTGGTTTGTTTTGTCTGAAAGTTTTTGTTTTTGATCTGTGAACGGCCAAAACAGACGGATTTTTTAAATATGTTTTTTTTTATGTCCCCAATAAACAGAAAAAAAATTGTTTCGACGAAATTGTAGAGTTTTGTTTAAAAGCGACAAAATAAATAGATGTTATGCCTTTTTTAAATAGCAAGTTAAAATAAATTTGTTAATTCGCTTTACGAAAAAGGAACATGTAATCAAATTAAGTTACTCTATCTCCCACATTCTTAGTTTAAATGGAGGGGGTAGTTTTATCCGGAAGGAAATAATTTGGTTAAAATCGATCACATGTTTTGCACAGAATGTGATATTTGAAAAACATGTTTCTGACCATTAGCCCCACCCACCACTAAAATTTAACTCGAGTGAAAATGCTTGCACAATTTATGCAATGCACAATATTCTATACTATATTTAATACAAAACTGGTTGTCCTTTCTGAAGATGAGGACAAAATTGTGTGCATGATTGGTAGAGGTTAGCCGAGCCTGGGCTTTTTCCGGGCTAGCACGGGACCGCCCAGGATCAACGGGCTTTGGGCGCGCCGGGCTTTAAGTTGGGCTTTTCAATCGGGCTGGGCTTGGGCGGGCTTTACTTATGAGTCGGGCTCGGGCTTAACTCTAGGCCCTAAAAAAGCCCGAGTCTTATTTCTTTACTGGAGTGATATGAGACAGTCATAAAATTTGTATCATTTGTAGAAATCAAGCTTGAATTCACAGTTCATTATTGTTCTCTATTAGGATTTTCACCTATAAAGTTATTCCACCATACATATTTTCGTAACAAATTATAGTTTATCGCTAAGAAGAAGCTAAGGAGGATTGAGTGCCACACTCTTAGCAAAAATCCACAAAAAATCATAACCGTGCTCCAGTGTTAACGAACATAACGAGCGCGGAAATAATCGTTGCACAGATGGTGAAGATATTGTTACCGCTGCGTGAAGAAATGACTCCGCTGGGTGAAGAAATTATATCCGCACGGAGTCGATTTATATCCAATCCGGTTAAGTCATATAGTGACACCGCCCGGAATTGATTTGAGTCGCATTTTATTTTGAGTGCATATTCAGGCTGGATATTCACTACAACAGGCATCTGCTTTAAATTACTCGCCCACTTGAAACGATTCGAAGCGATTTCAAGGATGGACACAATCTACAGGATATTGTTAGCCAAAGGGGATAAAAGTAATGCCCTGATGGCTTTGGAGTATTTGGTTGGATTCTCGTATGAAATGGAAACTAATCCTAAGGGGAAGACCAGGGCGAATGATGGATCTCAGGAAAGGTTGGAAAATCTCGAGGAAGGGGAAGCAGGAGAGGAGATAAATCTGGTGGAATACTACATACAACAAGCTAGTCGGTTGTGCAATGAGGTGGACAATTCTAGAAAACTCCTTCTAGAGGGGGGTCAGTTGCATTTGGATGAGTCCTGTTTGATTCAAAACGACTTTTGATTTTGTTGAGCAAAAATAGAAAAATGTTGCACATGTATGTATGTACATTCCACTTTCCTTTTGGATATTTAACCCTTTTGTCAACTTTATTTAATTTGTTGCAAATTATATACGAGTACCAGGATACTAACTAGGAATGCTAGGAAGGTGTGACACCGACCTATTTAGCAATCCCACCACACGCATTCGATGCATTTTTCAATTGTAGTCCCACGATGTAACAAAATTTCCGTGTAAAAATGACACTTGGTCACGCTTTGACCATTTTGGTCTCGCGCGGAAGGCAGCTAAGTATTTTGCTGGTGGTGGGGTTAGGTTGACGGTGCGCTCCCTCTCACAGTGTAAGCAGGAAGAAAATTACAAATTTTTTCAAGTCGAAAACTACTTAAAATTAAAAATTTCTGAAAATTCTAAATTTCCGAAAATTTAAGATTCTGAAATTTTTTAAAAATATTTTACAACTGAAAATTGTTTAACAGTGTTGAATATTGTAGAAAAAAATGGCTGAAAAAATTTTCAAATAACTTTAATTTTGCTTTTGCTTACATAGTGAGAGAGAGCGCATCGTCAACCACACCCCACCAGCAGCAAACTAGTTGTCTTCCTCGCGTCACCAAAATGGTCACAGGGTGACCAAATCCAATTTTTACACGGAAATTTTGTTACATCGTTGGAAAACAATTGAAAAATGCATCGAATACGTGTGGTGGGATTGTTAGCCGGGGTCACACCTTCCTAGTGTTCCTAGTAAGACCTCACGAAAAATCTGTCTGTTTCATGTCGCGTATTTAGAATATTGACATATTTACTATCCGGACATTGGTAATGTTAAAAAAATAAAATTCTTTAAATAAAGCTTACTGAAGCTCTGGTCCGATCCTAGGCCTGTAAAAAGTCGTGCTGTGTTTACCGAATGGAGCGTGCAAGCTATGTATTACAATACAATGTATTACAATATTGTATTATGTATTATGTGCTCATGTATTACAATATTGTAATACATGATGAAATATGCATGAATCTCAATTTCCCCAAATTTCCACCTCCTCCCCCTGAGGGTGGTGGGTGTGGTTTGAGTGTGACACTTAGTTAATAAGGTGTGATGAATTTTGTGGTTCAAAAAACGTGAAAAAAAACGGATAAAAAACTCGCCACTTTTCGGACCACACCCCCTTGCAGTGTGAAGAGGGAGGAGTTCTTTTGACCTTTTAAAAACTCCCCGTGCTCATATGGAATGCATCTACGAAAGCAGAATTTCTAAAATATTTCCCAGTGCGGAGGTATAATTTTTTTTAAACCGCACTTTAATTGGATTTAACATGTAGAATGATAGGGATGACATTTGGTTTTCGATTTTTCCTGAAAAATTCATAGCGAACGGAACGGGAATTGATGTTATATTATAATGCAGCATATGTTGGTGCATGCACATGCCAAATTTCGCTTCTCTAGGACAAAGTTTAAAATTTCACATGAAACCATGCAAAAGTAGCTAAGAGCGCTTGCACGCTCCATTCGGTAAACACAGCACGACTTTTTACAGGCCTAGGATCGGACCAGAGCTTCAGTATATGCATAAAAAACGACGAAATGGAATTCTACAGGTCGTTATAATAGGTTTTTTCTCCATAATTATTGAAGCGTTTATGGGTGTTTAACTAATTTACCCCCCTGCACCCCTCTCGCGTTACGTGATTTATGGATAGCCCCTAATAGGAAGCCATTCTAGCGCATCAATTTACTAATTCGCTTATCAAGGAAGTCTTCAAAGCTGCACTTTTCAAAAAATCACTGTGTGCGTGAAAAACATGGAAGAGCATATATACCATAATCCAAACGATGGCTTGCCCCAATAAAACTATTTAAAAATAAAAACACAAAAAATCTTAGAGTTGTTGATTTGTAAGTTCGACAGCTTGTGACTTTTTAGATTTTATCAAATTTATACTGGGACCCTGCAATACATATATATCCATCTTCAGATAGCGATATTACATATGTATGTAGGATGCTTATCTTTTCCACGACTTTTGATGTGTATATTGGAAAGGTACTCAATCAAATATTGTGCATACTGACCATACTGTAAATATGTACATAATGCAGGGAAATCTTATATAAACATCAATTATATTAAGATACCCCAACTCCCTAATATATGCAGTTCGAACATGTTCAATTTTACTAAAACTCTTTTCATGGGTTTTTCATTTACCTAATTTGAAAGTTTAATGAGCGTTGTCTAAAGTCAAGGTAAACGCAAATACTTTATCACATTACCAAATTGTTATATGCATCGAAAATCTTCACATAGTTGTGGTAAAATTCTGTGACGAGTGAAAAAAATTAAATAGACAACTTTGAAAATGAGATGACAGACGGTCCAACATTCTTTCCAGGGCATATTTATAAATGCATTTTAGAAGACGTATCCTTTATTATCATACAGGGGTTATTATGCCCTTGAAATTTTATTGACCCTTATAAAATAAATAAATATTACAAGTAATAAAACTCAGTTATAAAGTATGGCACGGTTCTACACAATCATATCATTAAGAGATATGTGCTTATGCCTTACTTAAAGAGTGAGAAAGTGGAGGAGAATTTTACCAGCATGCACTTTTATATACGTTGTCCTACACAGCATTTTACAACAGGCCAATCCACTCGAGCTGACCCAGAGTCAAGATGTAAACTCCGTGTGCAATCTTTTAACGTGCACCTGTATAGTAGCAAATACCGCAGGATTTGTTGTGCAAGGACAAAACCTTTTCCAGTTTATTAAGCAAACTGGGTAATTTGGATTTGAGTAAGTGATAATACAACAACACAAAATTGTGCTTGGCATCCATATCCCCCATTAATTCGAGGTTCAAAATTATATAATTTCGCTGCTGCAAGAATTATAAGATAAGTTTTGTAACGAAATTATATAGGAACATTTGTTCGCCCAAATTTTGTGTTAATAATAATTAACAATTTTAAGATGATATCCCCAATTCCTGTTCTATCTAGTTCCAAGTTTTTGGAACCACCACGTAAAAAGGATTATATAAATTTATTTAATCCCGTCCTAAAAACAAAGTTGTTAGTGAAGAGGCGAAATAATTTGTCTAGTAATTTGTGCAGAGTGGTTGGCGCCGTCGACGCCGACTGCTTTGAGGTCCAAATCTACCAGCAATATCCTCAATACCAACACACGAAAGGATTTCCTACAGTCTTGGCATTAGAGACGGGAAGGTAATTGCTATATATATATATATACTAGCGGATAAGCCCATCTCCCACTGGGCGGTACTTGATTTGAATGTGAAAATAATTTTACAAGGTTAAATTTTCTTTTGCCTTATAAGCTGAATCAATCTGTGGGGTGAAATAAAACAACTGTTAGGACATCTGTGACTTTTTGCTGGGCCGAGACGGTAACTGGGGCGTCGACGCTCAAATTTAACATAAAATTCGTGTCCAGCGTTCAAAACCTGTTAAAATTGATTAGCCTGAAGTGACTTATAGACTTTCTAGGGCAGTTAATGTGCAAATCACTTTCGCCATTTTCACTTCCGTCGCACAAAAAATGCTTTCAATTCCGTTGCAGACAGACATTTCCAGCTTATAATATAGATATGTATGTTATGACACCGAATATGATACACGAGTGAAAAAGAGAAAGTTATGCAGAATGGTTGCCCTGACAATTTCGTATTACGGGCTTTAATATGAACTGTCGAATATTACATTATTTTTAGTAATGTTTTTACAAGTTTTTTTATAAAGTAATTAATTAAATGCAAATATTTCTTGTGTAGAATCGTATCAAGATCCCACGAGGCTAAAGATCTCGGAATATCTAGAAATCTAAAAGTCCACCAGGCTAAACAAATTTGTCCCGACCTTCACGTTATTTATGGAAAGAAAAAATTTGGAAAGCATGACACCACCGAAAAGGATGCAATCAGTGACAAAATCCGTGAGGCTGCTCTTTCATTCAGGGAAGACCTGATAGATTCAACTTATCTGGACGAGGTGGACATTCCAATTCATCGAACTGGCTGTGACGAATTCCTCATTGACCTCACCCAACTCGTCACACTACTAATTGACCATGATTATCCTCTTCAAATTGATGCGACCCACAGGATTTTCATGGAGGGACGCCGCTCCACGTATAATGGAGATGGGCTTACCAATCGAAATGTTTACTATTATTCGATTCGTCACCATAAATATTATGAGGAAGTGAGGTTGGCGTATGGACTCCAAATTGTGGATAAGTTATGCCAACATATACTCAAAGAGACGAAGATCGTTTGTTCAGGTTGGTTTTATTTTATTAACTTATGACAGTTATAGTTATACAATTTTTTACCACATAAACAGGTGGCGTTGGTTCAAATAAAGTGCTCTCTAAATTAGCGTGCAGTATTCATAAACCCAACGCCATAACGGCATTAACTCGACGTGGATTTTATCGCATCTCTTACCGTATTCCATTCAGAGATGTTTCCGGCTTTGGAAATATGCTTGGCCTGCAATTACATACCCTCTTTGGGAATTTAAGTGTACACAAAATGTGGAAATGTTGGATTAAAAATTTTAACAATGTGAAAAGTTATGTGGGCATCGAGAGAGCTGAGAAAGCAGGAAGACTGCTATTTGGGATATGTCACGATCCCATAACTCCCAAACTTATGAATGTAGGTTTAAACTGTGGGAAAGGAAATCTAGGTAAATATGATTAGATTTAATAAGTACTTTAAATATCTTACTACTGTCACGCTATTTATAGAGGTACTTGTTTTGCCCATGTTTTGTAGATATTCGTTCCGAATCAGAATTCAAAGCAGAACTGAACCATCGTGTCCAAAATATGCTGGCCAAGATGCAGCTCGACAATACAGCAAACAAAAGAAACCATACTGAACTTAAGATTCAATACCGTTACGACCGGTGTCGTACAAGGAGCTTTCCGATTGACTTAAATGCCGTGGCGTTTGCTCCAGATCAGAAGGGGGTATTTTAACGGAGTGAGAAAAGCCTCTTTGACCTTGCAGTGTTCCAATCAATATCAAATAATCCAGATTTTCAAAATGACTGTGCTCTGATAATTGATTGGATGAATTTCAAAGCAACTGGGATTGTAGAAAATCAAAACGTGGAGTATTAATCAAAACCCTTCATATCCATAAACTGACACCTATTTTAATAATTATATATATTTAATTTGCACCAGATAATAGAATTTTAGGTTACTCATCATATAAAGTTTTACCGTTTTGTAAAATTACAATCCTTATTAAAATTTAGACTATGATAATTGCAATGCTGTACTAATGGAACGTCAATAAATTTAGTGTGGCACGCAAAAATGTCAATTTTTCATATACTCCTTCGCATTGTCGGGCTCTGTGCTAAATATGTGCTCATGTGCGATGTGCATATGTACATGTATAGGTATGTAAATTTGCGGAAATAAATAAAGTATACGCAGACCCATACAAGTTGTAAATATCAAGGTAAATGTCTTCTTTAATTCAATAATTCTGGAATCATTACCCGAATGTTTTCATGTAGGACACAGCCTGTGTCACACAGGAATGCATTTCCATGAAAAGTGGGCACGTTTAGCATGGAGTTTTGAACGAAAAAATGTTAAAAACGTGGTGCAAGAGATTTATAGAAGTTGACTCAGACATGTATTTCTTACTCTCCAACTGGTCAAAATTAGTCCAAAATTTTGCGAGTTGGTCCACGTTTTATGACGTGGACCAACTATATGTATAGTTGCAATATGTGAATTGTCCCGGTGGATTTAATAGACCGTTGGACTATGAAAATTATTTAAATTAGGTGATCATAAAAAGTAAATATATTTATTCATGCAAATTTATACCAATTTATGCATCCATAATCAATAATATTGTTAATAATCAACTACGATTTAGCGAATAGTGTAAGTGATGAGATAGATAAATTTCTGGATAAAATAGACCAGTTATCAAAATTTGAAATGCATTATTTCAGACATGTCTTGGAACTCATTTGTACACGAATGAACCAAACTTAACCTATTAATTAAAGCTATTTTCTAAGTTATTCTTGTATATTGTAGAGTGTTAAATACTTTATTATTTCTTACTTTGAACACTAACCCCCAAGTCGGACAAGGTCATATTCGCCCAAACCCGTGTGTCACGCTTATCTTGAAAAATATGTTCCAACCCGGAGGCAAACTCTTCTTCATAACATTTCACAAGTTTTAGCCAATCTGGAGCGAATTTTTTGGAGAACACCTGACTTCCAAAATATCCGCCTTCTTTGGCAAAAAAACCGGCAAAGTTCAAACTGAGATGCGGGTACGAGACCATGTTGGCCATGAGGTACATTTTCCAGCTGTCGGAAACACTGTTAATTTTCCTTAAACAATCGGAAATATCTTCGCGGTTGGTTTTCGTATTTTCAAAATCTACCCCGATCCTGATAATGCCCTGAAAGTCTTTCATTTGCTTACTTTCCAGGAGAACGTGCTCTACCGAATGGAGGAAGGCGTTGAAGACAAAAAAGTTCAAAAGTTTCGCGGTGATTTGATACATTGCCCCACACTAGAAATTGCCATTTAGATCGAAACAATTTTCCAGTTCGGTCCTCACCCAGGATTCCAAGGGTAATTTGTCCCTCAGGTTAAGAAGGAACTCTGAAATGTATGCCATTTCAGTCTCACCCTGCCCCACAAGGGTGACCACATTCTCCACAAAGTCCTCAATCGGCGGGAGGAATCTATTCACAAATTTTCTAAGCGGGAAAACATCTTCATTTTCCGTATAAGTAATGATTTCCTCCTTCCTTGAATTATTGTATCCGTTATAGATAGGATGTTTCGTGTCAGGATGCCCCCACCCGTCGAAAATTAGTCGCGCCAAATTATAAATCCCGCCGTTTGACGTGTCCACCGGCCAATAATAGTATGGCGAGCCTTCGGAATAGACGACGCTTTCCTTAAAGTCGAACGCGTTAGAATCCACGCCACACTAAACGTACGAGTGGACCAGGAGAATCCGTCTAACCACGGAATTTTGAGACGTCTTTTTTGCCGCCAAATATTCAAACGTGAGAGCCATTGGGGTAGCTAGTGACGCATGCAACACGGTGTGAAGGCCCATCCCAGAAATATAGTTAGCGTTAAGGGCACCGTGCAGCTTGCAGAGTTCCCAGGCCATTCCATCTGAAGGAAAGACGAGACGAAATTTCCTCAAGACGGCGGGGAATGGAGGCATGTTTAAATCTTTCGAATTTTTCGATTATCCCATCTCGACTAAATTTTCCATCGCGATGGCAACCAATTCAAGTTTTTTGGGAGAAGAACGTTTTAAAAGAACGACGCACGAGCAGAGCACCGCGTTATCCGATTTTCTTAGCGGGATTGCTTGCACTCCCGGTTAAATCCACGATGAAATAATCCCCTTGATTTCTCCCCCGCAGCCCAAATAATTCCCTGTACGGGGCCAACTCGATTCTGCCGGGGTCCAGGTACATTACCAATTTAGAGAAATGCGTTTCCGTCCAAATTGAAACAGAATGTGGGTCACTGATCGCTCTCGGGTCTTGAATGGCCCTCCTCATAGGCCACTTTGCCCCTCCCGGCGTCATTGTACTCACTCAAGGCGCGAGGGGGCAGTTGGTTGAGCGGGATCAGAATATGCCCGGGATGTTAGACTGGTTCAAAGTTGTGCAGCTTTTTAAATTCCTGGGTAAATGCACCCGCGTAATTTTGTTCCATGAGATGATGATGACCTCCTTGTGTTTCTTGTGTTTCAAAATGTTTATGGAGTACAAATTAGTTGTGCACTGGCTTTATGATTTTGATTTTAAATAAGACCCGTCTTTAAGACGGGCTTATAGGCTAGTCAATATACATTCAGCCGTCACATAAGTTATGCGACATAACTTTACTTACTTTTCCATTAAGGAAGTAAAATCACATAATTCGCAAATTTCTAATAATGATATAAGTTTATATCTTATGTAACTTACCCTCTAATAGTTTTTTAAACATATACAGCGAATTCTCTAATTCAGGAGCGAGATACGATTTCCAGCCAAATACAATTGGGAGATACATAAAAATCATCCCGTACTCGAGTATTAACGCAAAAATGTAAGAACAAATTAAGAAGAAGGGAAAATTCTCGGCGACAGATACTTCTGCGTACTTTAACCAATTTATGACGTATCCAACCAAAATCGTATTCATCGGCGCTAAGACCGTCACATAAATGAATACAATTTTACACCAAAATGTAGAATATGCCCGAAATCGCAAATCTAGAACCAATCGTGCCTTTTTAGGGTCCAAAGTTATTGGACATTTTCCATAAATGGGGGAACTTTCTATCATTCTAGAGTAAATTTGAGGTAGCCCAAAAAACTCGTTCAGTATTTGGGTAGAATATACTCTGGTCATTTCGGATCAGGATTTAAAATGCAATGACAATTTTTAGCTTGTGCTGGCAAAGTATGGAATGACTCCCTACTTAAATAAATCGATGAAGGTTTTGAGCTTAATCATTTAAATCAAATCATTCAAAGTCAATTGTTTAAGTTAATATTTTTAAACTCAAGGGGTAGTCGGAACTTACCCGGCCTGGCTGAAAAGTGGTAATTTTGCTACACTTTGCTGGTGGGTCTGAATGCTAAATTCCCACAAGTATCTAGATAAAATTCTATAATGTAATAAAATTACGGGTCGAGGATGTCTTGGTTTGCGACCTCCTTTCAGATTCGCTCATACCAAATATTTTAAAGTAATCGAACCCACTAAATCTATAATAACGATAACCTAACGTTATTCGGATCAGTTTTAAATAAATAAACACTGGACGACTTGTGCATCGCTATTAAATTTATTTTTAATATGATTTATGTCGAAAAAATATTTGATAAAATTTTCTAATATCTTGAACAACTTTTCAGGATATTAAGTGAATTAATTAGTAATAAGTATCCTTCACAAAAAGATAAAAAACAACATACATATACGCATATTTGCGTAAGACAGGAAAACGATATTAAACATTCCCATACGGTAGAAATGCATTAGAATACTGAATATTCAATAATAATCTATATTATAAGCTGGAAATGTCTGTTCACAACGAAAGTGAAAGCATTTTTCGTGCAACGGAAGTGAAAGTGGAGAAAGTGATTTACATATGAAAGTCGACAAGTTAGTTATCCATGATTTGCTGTTTATTATTCTTAATCATAGAAAGGGAACTTAAAGTAATTTATTTAGTTGTGCGTATCCAACCGCATGAGGGAGCGAATGGGTGTGTCCCACTGGTAGGTGGTTATCGTTCTGCTGGGGGAAGGGGAGGGAGCAAAGGAAAGTTCGCTAATTCACCTGAGGTAACCCTTACTTGGTCATACCTCCAGTGTTGGGTTTGGCTGGCTTCTTGCTCGGGTCATGCACCGGAAGGAATTAATTTCGTTTATGGTTTGGATATTGGAACATAGAACATGCCTAAACCAAATCTATCATTTGAAATTTCCTTCATGTGAGTCCAGCCACATATTTGGTTTAGGTAGCCTACACATGAAGGGAATGGAATTCCCTTAAACATTAAATCTAGGCTACGCATGGAAGGAACAGATCCGCATGCCTTCCTTTCGGAAGGAATAAGGAATAATACATAAGGAATACATAAGGCATACATAAGGAATACCTCAGGTGAATTAACGAACTTGGAAGGGAACGGATTCCGGTCCATTCATTTTTACACCAAGGGAAAGGAATTCCATCCCCCTTCCTTCCCTTAGCGTAAAGTTAGCTAATTCACCTGAGGTATACCCTTATATGGTCACACCCTCAGTGTTGGGTCACAAATTACTTAACATAATATATAGTACGTGAGGTATCCTCAATAGGAATGGAACATTCTGAAGCATGATACCGACTTGACTCTCCACCAGCTGATTGTTTCAACCTCTTGGTCATATTAAGTACAAACGTCTCCAAGCTGGAATGTAGTCCGGTAGCTGGAATGTAGCTATACATATTTCTGATGGGCTAAGAACGATTTTGTGATTTACCCCGTCAGCGACGCAATTTTTAAATTGTACACTTATTATGGGCCTTACAAATATATATTTCTATTACTCATCTTTATTTATTTTATAATTATTTTACTTTTTGGAGATACAAATCAGTTTGAGGGAGTTTGAATTGTAGTTTGTGTGGCAGTTGAGAACCATAATTTGGAGTTGCGCTGCTTTTCGAATAGTAGTTTCAAAACGGTAGGAGTGGAGACTTTTAAGAGTAAGCTTACACTAATGTTATTGTTCAAACATGTGCATACGCTCAATATTTTGAATTTAGAGTCCTC